TTCTAAGTGGGTCACAGATGTGCCCACCTCACCCAGACTGCCCCACAGGCTACACAGGAGCTGCACTCTGCTGATCATTGACTGCAGCTGTCCCTGACACCAACTCCACTCAGGGAGTTCGCAGCTTTGCCACAGGAACACCCATTTGCAATCACAAACATTTCGTGGAGACTGACTACTAGGTGATAGAGGGTGAAATGATTCAGCACTGATCAAACTAAACCGAATGTAAGGCACTGCAAATCAAACAAAAAATCTCAGAAAGCCTATTATGGCCTTCACAGTTTGTTTTCTTAATTCAAAGCCAAAATGGAACAGAGATGAAGAGCTGCAAGAATAGAATACATCCTGAAGCCTCTTGTCTCTAATTAAATCTCCATTATGTGTAAGGAGATGAAATGTTAAAGAGAATGTATTAAATGGAAAAGAAAGTAAAAAAAGAAGCACATGGGAGTAAATTCTTCCTCAAATAAAAACAAGTTGAGCATAACAAAACAGTCACAAGAGATAAGGACCAGTATCTACTTCTTCTACAGTGGTGTCAGCTCACTCCTCACAGTCAGCGAGGTCATCCTTGACTTCAGTTCTAGGAATAGGATGATGGAAATGGAAAAGCACAATTAGGTCATCACAGAATGCTTTGTGTTGGAAGGGACCTTAAATCTCATCTTGTTCCACCCTCTGCCATGGGTAGGGACACCTTCCACTAGCCCACGTTGCTCCAAGCCTCGTCCAACCTGGCCTTGGACACTTTGGAGATGGGGCAGCCACAGCCTCTCTGTTGCCAGGGCCTCACAGCCCTCCCAGGGAAGGATTTCTTCCTAATCTCTAATCCAGCCCTGCCCTCTGTCAGTTTGAAGCCATTCCCCTTCTCCTATCACTCCATGCCCTTATCAAAAGTTCCTCTCCACCTTAGTGCTTTCTCCCCTCTCCTCCCTCTTTATTACTGCAACCAATCCAGAGTAAATTTTCAAAATCATATTCTTCAGAAATACTTTTAATTGCTTGGATGAAAATTCTCCAAGCAATAGAAATCCAACTCCTTTCTTTGAGAGACATCCTAATGACTCACGACTTGCCAACTGCTGAATTGACCCATGTCAGAACCTTCCTCACAGTGGTCAGGCTTTTGGATACCACAGTTAGGAAGGAGAACCCAGGGGAAAACATGAGACAATAGGATCTCAGTGTGGCCCTCCAGAGTCAGGTTAGTACCATGGAAAGGGGAGGGAGGCTTTGATCACAATACACACACAATTAACTACTGGTGTAGCAACAGTCCAAAGGACTAAATAAACTCTGAAGCTTGAGAAAACAATTCTGTGAGTTCCAGAGAAATGAGGATCCATTGAAAGGAACATATTTCACGGGGACTAATTTTAAGGTTCTTCTAATTAGATGCTGTTCATTGTTAGAAATACATGAGGTTCGATTAAAAGAAAGGTATCAGACATTTTTCCAGTGACACCAAAGCTGACCCTGCTGGTTACTTCAATGGATTTATAAATTGTTTTTAATTATTAGTACCTGGTTATTTTACTTTTAACTTCAGACCAAAGCAGTTCTTTCCCCCACTGCACCCTCTCTGCAAAACCTAGATCAATGCAGCAGCTGTGGAATGTCCAAAGCACCAACCCCAAGCAAAGATGTATAGAGGGAAAACAGCACAAAAACATTCAATAGCAGAAACAATAAATTCCTGGGGAGTTCAAAATAAGGTCCAGGGAATTCAAAGCAAAAGTCAACAGTGACTCTTCATATATTAGGGTGTTTCTGCTGACCTGGAGCATGACTGTGCAAAGCGTCTGGCTGTGGGTTTTGCACAGCTTTGTTTTCTCTGTAAACATCCATGTGTTGTATGTGTTGCACCCATGTCCAGCTCTCTGATCCAAAACTTTCCAGAAAGGTGACACCAATCAAAGGCACAAAGGCCCAAAGCAGCTTCTGGATACACTTTGGTTTAGCCAGTTTGGATCATGGTCAGTCATGGGAGAATGTGCCCAATTCACCGTTTGCCTTAACTTCCCAGGATACTGTGAGGTGTATGACAACATCAAGGGGAAACATTAAGAAAGGAGTAAGGAAGAAAAGGGAAAAAACATCCCTATGGTCCATGGCATGGAGGTGTTGTCTGGGGAATGATACATTTCACCATCTTATACTCTGCAAGAACTGGAAGTCTTAAGGAGCTTGTTTCAGAAAAGAAGATACCTGTTCACACAAAGCACAGTGGGACTCATCATCACAGGACACAGCTGGTGTAAAAAGTGCATGTGGGTTCAGAAAAATTAGATAAATGTATAGAGCAAAAAACCTACTACTCATCAGACCAAAAATGAGTCAAACAGATTGCTGGTCTGAGCCAAAGCAGTTCCTGCAGCAAGCAGCACCCCTTGCAGTCAGACAGCTGGAAACAGTTCCAGAAATGCAGGGAGCATTTGCAGAAAAATTCTGAACCTGTATGTATTTGCACAGGTTGGCAGAAAATTCTGGAAGAGCATTTTACAACAAAGCAACAGACTTTGGGATGCTTTGAGAGGGTTCTTGTTTTCAAGCAGCTCCCAAAGACTGCACTGATCACTGGAGCAAGGATAGCTTGGTAGGAAACGTTATTTCGCACATGAGAGAGAAAACACAAGCAGAGGTGAGGATTTAAGACAAATAAGCTACTCAGATCTGCAACACTTGAAAGAAATCTTGCTGACAGTATGTTTGATGACATTCTGAAGTCAGGAAAGTTGGAGAGACCAAAGCCATGATCACATCCCAGCACAGTGTGGGCAGACACTGTGTAAGACTTTCCCAGGCAATAAACCAGGTCAAGGCAGGTACAGGGCACTCATGTTCTCAACACCAGTTGTCACAATTAAGTAGAAGCATAATGGGAATTCTAGTTTCAACTTTGCAAAGCCCTCAGATACCCTCAATTGAACAGGATAAGATAAAATAAAACAAAACTAAAATGTTTCTTTCTACCTGCTAATCTGGTAACTCTCCCAAAGGATTTGAAAACTAAACTTCCTTTTTGCCAGTTTGTGCATTATCACCAGCTTAAGAAATAATCCTGTGATCAGAACAGAGTATTTTTTCCTTACGATTTGTGAGTTGGAGCAAAATTTTACTCTGCTGTGTCTCTTGGAACTGTGCAGTATTATCAGGAGGGAAATACACTAAATACAGAAAATAGATACAGCACAAAAAAACAGGAAGGACACATTAAGTACCATTCTATAAGTAGTTTTCCTGGCCATACTTTTAATACCTGTGTCACAGTTTATTATCTATAAAATACTGATAAAAAAGAATCTGAAAAAAACTTCATTAATTTCTATTTATAGACCAGTTCAAGATAGTGCACTGAGTAACAACTTATGTGTAAACTCTGTTGTAGCTCTCATTTGGAGAACCTGACATTTAAAATTATTGAGTGTTTTTCTCCCTTGGCAAAAAGTGAGGACATTTGCACTACATGAGGCTGAATTTGAGCTGCCAGAGGCCAACATGACCCTTTGTTGACAGCCCTGATGCCATGGAATCCACAGATCCATTACTGTGACTGGCACTGAAAACAAACCTTTCCTCTTCAGACAATTCCTTTCACTCTCCTCCTTTGCAACGAGTACAGCAGCAGTAAGAACACTCCATCCTGTACCTCTCCAAAGCTCAAAAGTTGAGCACTCCATGCCCAAATCTCAGCTGATTACAGCTGACCCCATGGTAAGTGCTGCTGTTCCTCTCCCCAGCTCAAGTGGTGCTGTAGATGTTGTCGAGGTGCCTGAGCTAAGCAGGACAAGCATAAGCAGTTTAATGGTGAGTCATTCCCAGCCCACTCAGGAACTGTCTCGTGAGCAGCTCAGCAAAGCACAGACTGAGGGAAAAAAACCTCTCTTAATGATAATAATCTCCTTATCTGTTATGTCAGGAGCTGAAAAGGGACACATGAACAAGCCCTGTTGGGTAACACCTTCTGCCAGGCAATGCCTGCTCCTGGCTGGCTCGTAGGATCAGGTGAGTGCTGTGTCCCACCCACTGGCTCTCGGAGGGAACAAGCCCTTTAAACCACAGCAATTATGTCAGAGGGCTCGCACAGCAGACAATGACAGCCCCGGGTGGGCACATCTGGACACCCCATAATCTGGGTTTCCTGATCAGTCAGGTACTGATATCCCAGACCTTGCAATATAAAAATGTTTTCAACTCAATGGATTTGTTTAAGGTTTTTACAGCTTACATTTTATTATTTATAAAATGATTGATGTATGATAGTCATTGCTCAAGAAAGGAAGAACTAGTAGAGGGATACTGGTATTTCATTATCAACTTTCACTGCCCTCTATTATCATTAATCTGTCAGTACCTGCTTCTACCAGTTAATTCCTTTGACTCTCTCCAATCTGCACCTTGTTCTGATATGATATCTCATGTTTACACGGACAGGAGACTTTGACTCCTTGAAACTGGCAGCGAGTACATTTGGGCTTTGTTAAAGTGACAGTGAGCGTCACTGAGGGCAAAGGTAAAAGCCAGGTTGGAGGAGGTTATAAAAAATTCAAGTGGCAAGTGTCTCTCCTTTTATCTGACAGTTGCTCTTAAGAGGCCATATGTCATCTGTGACACACAGAATGTAAACACAGGACACAGAGGCAGAGCTCCACAGGGCACCTTCCCTCTGCAGATGGTTTATTTGCTACTGATGGGACAGAACTAAACTGAATCTTTAACTGAAGAGTTCCTCTGCCAGCAGCCAAAGCCATCACATCCCCTCTCTGTTGTATGCTGTGCCTCTGGGACTCCAGCCCAGAAGTAGCACCTACAGCCCTGTAAGCATGCCCAGATACAAGAGCTGGGACAGGAAATACACCTCCATAACTAAATCCCGGGATACTTCCAGGACTCCTTCATTACCTGCACCTAAATTTGTATGTATAGCTAATCGTACAGAAGAAAGGCACATGCATTAATCACTAGTAAAAATGCCCCACAATGTGAACTGTACTCACCTCCTTTATCCACAGCAGTTTAGGTGGCTGCATTTCCACTGACATTGCTCCCCCTACATAGTTCAAAACTCTGTGTTGTGTTGCATTGATGAGCTCGACTTGACTCACTGCACGATGATCCATCCACATAATAACATTCCTATGGTTCTGTCCTGGGGAGAACAAAAGGAAGAAAGAGATTATTTTTGGTCTGGTTTAACCCCAGCTCAATACTGTGAGTTACCCTGAGCTGCTTCACACTTTCACTTCTACATTGAAAACTCAAATTCTCTTTGAGCAAATAATCCACATTAAGTATCTAAACCCAACATTTTAGCCCTCTGAGCCAACTTTCAGACATGCTGAGCACTGAGAGTGCTGACAAACCAATCAGGCTGGGGAGCATCCAAGAACTTTGAAACACCATGCTCTCGTAGACTGTATTGCAATCAAAGAACCCAAACTCCTTGACAAAGTTCGCATATTCGGTTAAAAACATAAAGAAGCATTTTGGTGACCAAGGACTAAAAACATGTCAAAATCCGAACAACCATGCTGTAAATTGAAATGAACTCAGCTAGTCAGCCAGCTAGACAGCTACAGAGATTCTCTTTCCTCTTCTGTCATTTTGGGCTGAACTACCCTAATTTCTTTCAGAAATACAGTTTCAGGGGGGACAATTTGAAACTGCCTCAAATCCCACCAACTGCATGACTTTCAGCAGCATGAGAGTATTCAGTGAATTCTTGTCTTCTTGTTTAACACTATCCCTGTGTAAACTCACAAGTTCGTGGGGATATCAGAGCATAAAAAATAAGAACTGAATTTGACTCACTAGACCAGAATAGCCCCAGACATCATTAGGCATTGAACAGATTGTAAGATACTCTGAAACTAAAAAATAAATAATGTCATCTAAATTCAGAGAAGGACAGTTTGGGGGCAAACTTATCCTCTTTGAGGAGGATAAGAGCAGATGACAAATACATCTGAGAACAGAAAGAACATACACAGAATTGTGAGCAGGTCTCTGTAACTACTGATTTCGCACACACCTCATCTTAAATGGGATTCATTGAAAAATAAAGTGCATCAAAGACTTTGAGTCTTCTGAATCATCAACTCTAATAAAAACCACCAGATTTTTAGAAGAAGGTCACAGTGTCTGAAGTTTAGCACTGTCCTAGACAAAGACAGAGCACCAATATAATAAAACACACAACTGAAGCTCTTGCCTGCAGCTCCATGACAGAGCAAGCACTTGGACTACACTAACACCAACATTTTTAGCATTCCTTCAGCCAGTGTGGATGGGCATTTATACACACTATGAAAGCCACGATCAGCAAAGTCTGAAGGAGGAAGAAACTTGCAGAAAAGAAAAATGAGCCTAGATTTCCCTAGGAAGCAATTTCTTTGAGCCAAGATGAATTAATTTGATCTTGGGATGTCAAATATTTAGCCAAATGGTAATTCTCATCCCAAAATTAATTCTGCAGTAGAATTAAAACAGTAAAACCGGAAAAAACCATCCTCTGGTAAAAAAGGTCTTGTGTCATCTCCATCTCCCAGAGCCAGGCCCAGCACTTGGTATTTGGATGAAATGGAAAGTTCACTGACAGTAGTGGTGACACACACACAGTAACACCATTTTTTGTGTGCAGCCCTACCTTCACAGTTGACTGCCAAAGGTTGGAACTGTTTATCCAGAACAACAAGAGAACATGTAGCATCAAAACCAACCCCTCGAATCTGGGCAGCATCCACTCCACAGACAACCTTCTGAAAATACACAAAACACACATAGATACAAATGTATCATTTCATATGCAGGTACCAATGAGCACAGAAAATGAGTTACAAGTCAAAAACGCAGGCTCAAACTCTGAAATTCTTTATATTCAGTATTCTTTAACACTGCTAACCAAAAATACATCAAATTACCAAATATTCTTTGGTTCTCAAAACTGAATTCAGAGTTCCTTAATAGCTTTTTAATCTTACTAGCCACAGTCCTGGATAAAGCAGGAAGCACAAAAATATCAGAAAATAAAGGTAGCAGAAAACTAGCAACATTTATTTTCTCTTTCCTAAAGCTTAGAGTTGAGCTGCATGTGAAACATGGACACAGGATTAGGGCCAGGTGTTTCCATCAGTTACTTCACTCAGTTCCCACCTGTGGAAGCAATAAATATTCTAGAAGTGCTTTGGTAATATTGAGCCACAGCTTTTTTGCCTTGCAGTACTGAAGGGTCCCAAAAACAAAACTGGTCAAAACCTGCAGCAGTGATAACACCTCTGCAATGCACATTTTTCTCTCTTACCAAGAGTTTGGACATCATACTTTTTTGGAAGATCTTCCAAACAAGAAAAAAGGGGAAAAAAAAAAAACTTCCCCAAAATGCCTGAACTTCATGGCTTCCAGCAGCACTGGAAAAAAAAACAAAACACCCACACGGATTAAGTGCCAAATGAGGCTGCAAGACACCTAAAATGTAACAGAGTAATAAATTGCCACTTCTCAGCAACAATAAAAATATCATTATTTTAATTAGTACTATAAGGAAAGACTTTCACTAGACTTGCTACAGTGCCAGTCTCTTACTGGCTCTGAAAAGCCATACTTTCAGAGACTATTTTATTGCTCACACATCAGAGACTGCATTTAAAGGGGTCCAGAGTAGAACAACGCAACTCACACAGAGAAATATCAAATAAAGAGTAAGACTTGCTCTTCTTTAACAACAAGCTGCTCTTCCCTGTCACTCCCTTCTTTCCCTTCCCTCCCCCTCACCATCTCAGGGCATTTCTACAGAGCCAAGCTCATTAATGTTTGAAAAGGCTGATCAATAACAAGACAATGGGTGAACTGTCCATCTGCAAATTACCAAGCATGTCATGAATATTTAAAAAGCCAACCTTAGAACATGGAGCAGGCCTGGGCTTTACTAAGGAAGATGAAATGGCCTCTGTGTGCACTGCCAAGCAAGGTCACAGATTCACCTTTACTGCCAGCAGGTACAGGCAGAGCCCTGGATCAGTGGGTACAAATTTTCCCCCTACAGAAAGGGTTATTTTGAGCTGAGTTTATGCTTGATGTTATCCACAAACATTTATCATTTATTTTGGTCTTACAACACTGGATCCTCTTATAACGAGGATCACAGGTGTTATGTTGGGGACCATCCACAAACCAGGCAACAATTTCTATGCAATAAATGTTTTTTTTGTGACTCCAGTGCAGAACAAGCACATCTTTAAACACATGCACAGCCAGGCTCTGAGCAACCTTGACTCCTCAAAGAACTGTCTTGTGGGTAGAACAAACAGCACCAAAACAAACCTCACAGATGTGAGACCTGAAGGGAGTGGCTAAATCCTCCCCCTGCCATAACAGCACAAAGAAGGGCCTTTCATTCTATTTGCAATTGTAGCAGAAGTTTTTTTCACTCTGGCCTTCAGCTCCTCGCCAATAAAACAGACACTGTGAGGCTCCCTCAGCCTCAAGGTGCCATTAAGGTACAAGGAAGGTTACAAGTTACACAGCACAAACAGACCTGAAGGGAAGTGACACTCGGGGACTGCAGACCTTAAACATTCAAAACCTGAACAACTACCTGCAACACAAACCCTTCATTTTCTCTCTTTGCCCACCTTTGTGACTGAGCAGCAGGCAGCCCAGATGTCTGCAGAGGACTGCTCGTAGTGGTCTGGCTGGGGCTCCCAAATTTGGATGGGCTGCTCCGCATGTGCCACCACTGTCCCACAGCCATCAACCAACGCTGCTCGAACACTGGCTGAGCCAACATCAATCCCAACATAGTATCTGACTGCAGTCTTCTTACTGTGCATTCTTAATAAACCTGTGGAAGGAAAAAAAAACATATTAAAAGCAGATGAAACAACTGATAATGGAAAACTGTGCTGAGCAGGGCAGGAGAGAGGCTGCACAGGCACTTTGCAGGGTAACTCGTTTCTGCAGCAAGTCTTCACTTGGCAATTTTTAATTACTTAAAGGTTTCAAGTCTTGCATTAGTTGTACCACTTTTCTTCAAATGTTTGCACATAAGCTGCGTGGCACAGAAGCTCCTGAAAAGCAGACTGTAAACGTGCACGTAAAATGTGCAAGCAGTGATAAAATTCGTGTGCTCATACAATCAAAATGCAGTGTGGTCACAGAGTATCACATCCACAGAAAGAGAGAAAGAGGGAAGGAGAGAGGGAGGGAAGCAAAGGTTCTGCTGGTGTTTTACACACAAGGGAAATTTCAACCCAGAGGCCCCAGGGTTTTCCTGGCAGATGGGGATGCTGGTGATGCCTGGAAAGCTGAATTCCCCTCTGGACAGGACAGCAAAAACCACCACAGGTCATTCACTATCTCAAAGCAAACCAATTCCATTCCTGAAGCAGTGAAAGGAGGGCCAGGCCGGGCCCTCCTGACCTGGAGGGGAATGAGGAGCCAAGAGTTGCTGCCTCCCATCACACCAACCAGCTCCTGAGTGCCATGTCACTGCTGAACGGGACACTGAGTCAGGCTGGAGCTCTGCAGATTCTGGAAACAGTTTCCTCTTCCAAAAAAAACCAAAAAACTAGTGGGATGATGATAATTAAAGTAACCACGTGACAATCTGGCACATGTTACCAAGGAAAAAGAAGAAAACAAAAAGTTAGGTTTTCAAGAGCTTTCCACCATCAATCCACCCAACTTTAAAGCCTCAGAAAGTAACTTGCTGGAAAAGTGTTGAGTTATGAGAGCATCCAAGGAAATCTCTGACAGCCTACAAGAACAAGGTGAGGTTAAGTTAATTGATTTAATTATTCACAATGAGTTGCATATTTCACTATATTAAGTTTAACTGTTTGACATTTAATACAGTGACAAATTCATGGTTCTAAATTTCTCACTGTTTGTTCTTAATTAATAGTTAACATTTTCATTTTAGCCAAGCTGGGAGAATGCTGAGGAAGAGCTGGTACAAGTATTTGAAACGTCAGACAAGTACCAAGTTTAGTGCCTGTGTGAATCTGTGACGTCTCTTAACCACGTGAAACTCAGCTGACACACAGCTTCTGATTTCCAGAAAATGAATGGATCAATTACCACTTGATGAGCACATGGTATTTACAGAGCATCAAAATGGCTCTAGTTAAAAACAGCCCACCTCCCCCAAACAAGTGACCTGGATTACTTCTGCATGTGGAGTAAGGGGTGGTTAGAGGGAGAGGCATAGGCAAAGAGGGAAAGAGTGGAAAGAAATGCTTAGTAGAATATGATTATTCACATTTCAAATTAATCCTTTTTTCTCTTTTTTAACCATAATTTTGAGTACAGGTCAGGATCTACCCTTAGTTGTCAGTCTGAACATAGCACTGGCCCGGTACAGGTGGCTGTTCACATCCATGGCTGGCTTGTAACCACTGCTGCTCATGGATATCACGAATTTATGACCACTTAGGGTAAGAGGCAGCAGCTAAAATAAAAAAGGAAAAAAAAAAAAAGGAGCCCTTTATCTCAGAAAATTCCAAACATGATTCTGGGTAATAATTAAACAGTGTAGCAGCTTGGCAAAGTTTCATTTGCCCTGAAAAAGGACAACACCTTGGCAAAAGAAACCTACTGAGGCTTCCCCTCATCCCAGCTTTTAAACAGGTCATGGGAATGTGGTCAGTCTGTGGAAATCTGTTATCACACAGTCATTTTGTCCTGCTTCAAGCTCACACTTGATGCTTAGACCCCACTGCTGCATCCAAGGACCGTTTTTTGTTCTCTGCTTGGACAGCACAAGGGAGTTCTGTCCATCACTAAGACTCCTGAGCAGCCTGGCACAGACCAAAGCAGTTCTGAGCTGCATTCTGCCCACTCCATGGCAGGGGCAGCAGGGGAAGCTCTACAGATCATCAGTTTCTAATACTGTCAGAAAGTAGGAAAAACTCAAAGCTACAGAGCACATTGTGGCTCCTCTCTGGGAGCACTGGCTCTGCCCAGCAGCTGAGGTGCCACACACTTAATCTCCTTAAGCGAGGTCATGTGTTCCAGCGATGAGCAAGCAGCTAAAAATGGTGCGCCATGAGTTAACACTAAGGAATATTGGCAAGAAAGCTCCTTTATTTTCTTGGCTCTGGCTCCGTAACCTGGTCAGACTAACAAAAGCTGATGCCTGTGTCACAGAGGGGACGTGGGTGACTAACACTGCATCTGCCACCTGGGAGGACACGCGCTCAGCCTCTCCCCCTCAGCTGGAAAAGCAGTTTTAAGACGTTCTTTTCAACACATGACGTTTGTTCACTTTTTAATTTTGCACTCCATCTCCTCAGAGCTCCAAAGGCTGGCTGCAGGTGCTGCTAGTTACTTGGGAGAAGTTTTACTATAAAGGCATTGCACAAGACTGTTCCTGATAGTATCTCACAAATTTCCCTGGTTTTCCCCTATTTCGGCTCTGCCTTTAGCTGCTGAGTCAGAAAAAATTGAGAATAAACCACAAGCTGCAAAACAGATTTTTTTTTTTTTTTTAAACACGGGCAAATCTTTCTTCCTTGCTTTTCACCAAATACAAATAGCAAAAGGAGTATTTTACATCCTGTCTCCTGCTCACACACACAATACTACTCTAAATTTCTCTCCCTTGTAAGGCAGCCTTGATTTTAGCTCATTAATGTGTTTTTGCTACTTAGAGAACAAGCTTAACAGATGTTAGAGAATTAAGCTCACAGTACCTCCTACTCAGCACTTAAAATTATGGCTTTGCATTGGATTCTTCCCACAAACATTTGAAACCTGGAACCCAATCTGCCCATGTAATGTTTACTTTCCTTTTTTTTTCCTTACTAAGCAGCCAGGATGTGCATGTGCGAGTGACTGGGCAGGAAGCAGAGTTTGTTTACGTGCTCCAGCAGTCCCTATCAGCCTGTGCACATCCAGGAGTTTACTGCTGTAAATCAGTGCACACAGGAACCAGTTAAGTGGCAGAGTCCAAAACCAAGAACCACAAACCTATTTTCACTGGTCTTTCTCTGAGTAAAGCTCCCCCAGATTCACAAAGCAGTACTCAGTGTCTTATGAAAAAAAAAAAAGTAAAAGTAAATATTAATCTTTTTTTCAAGCACTGATTTACTGAGGCTGTTGGAAGTAAATAGGATCTGCAATAGGATCCGATCTGCTTGCAAAAACACAATTTGATGCCAAGGGTTTTTCTGGAATACCAATTGCTTGGTATGCCACCTACTTATCAAGCACATCTCCGGAAAGCACTGTCATCTCCAGGTTATAAATGTCACCAATTATGGACTCTGCCCAAAGGTATTTCTTGAGAACCAAAAAGCTCAGCAGTCAGGTTGGTGGAAAATATTTAGCCAAAGTACTTTAGGAAGAATTTTAAAGAGGAACGTTGCCATTCTGTTTTGCTTCCAGAAGATTCCTTTGGTACACAAGGAAGCTCCAAATCAGAAATTAAGAATCACTTTAACGCAGTTCAGAGGTAGCAGAGGGTCCCAGCACAAATTCCCTGATTTGGAATACAGACACCAACATTCATTGCCACGTGCAAAGAAAACTTTGTTGTGCAAAGAAAAGTTTGGTTTGGGGTTTGTATCTATTGAATTCTGAACATACAGCTTCTGCAGGCAATGCAATCATGAGGAAAACAGCAACCCAGAAGAATGACTGAAATAAACGTCCTAAAAGACTAGACAGGTCCACTCTTCACGTGCAATATTCCCAACATGACACCAGAATATTTGATACAGGGATGATGTATGTTTATGTACTTCCAAGTGGTGGAAAGCAGTGGAGACAGAACCTTCTATCCCCTTGCAGTATCTAACTCAGAAAGCCTGGCTCCTCGCAGCCAAGAGAAAAGGCCTCCAGCCCTTTAACACAGCCTTGTGTGTCCACTGCAGAATTAGGGCCTCGTATTTACAATTTATTAATTGAATTTGCAAACACAAGGTGAGGGACAGAGGAAAAAAAGGTAAAATTAAAAGCCATGTTCAGCTTGACTGTGTTAATCCACGACTGTAACTGCTAAGGCAGGACAAGAAGCCAAAATTCCCTCCAAGCACTAAACCAGCAATGGCCTCTTTCTCTGCAAATCACAGCAGGGACAGAATGGCTTTTCAAACAAGCATTTATGATCAAAAGGCTACAGCATATGATAAATATTTATATGGCCCATTAAATAATAGTCTGTATAAATATTATTCAAAATGTGCGTGCTGGAAACCACAGACTTCCCAGTTTATCCTTATACAAACCTGTTAGTTTTCCCACATAAGCAATGAAAAAAAAAAAAAAAAAAAAAAGGAGGGGTAAAACTCAGTTGCAAAAATATTTCTTTAAAAAAAAAAAAAAAAAAAAAGAAAATCCCTAACACTATTTACTTTAATTTAAAAGGAATGACTAAGTAACCAGAGGACTGTTTCATTACCACTATTAGACTCTGTCCTACCTCACTTCATGGTTATCAAGTTGCCAGGACGTACCTTTCTCACATGAGCACAGGCTGAAGCTCAGCTCAAGTTTTTAGCAGCAGCAAGTCTAGATTTGGTGGTATCATGTCCTTAAATGCAAGGAATTAGGAAGGACTGGTGTGTCTGTTTTAAACTTTGATCTTTGGAACGCTGCAGGCTGCCCAGCCTCGGTGATCACGGATAAACAGAATGTTTTTAGTAGTGCAGCTGTGCTTTTCTATGGATTACCAAGAAAAAGATTAACAGGCTCAAATTAGGCTTCCTAATCTTCGCGTGAAAAGATCTAAATAAGTTAAATAAAAGCTGCTTTTAGACTGTAAAAAGTGAAAGAACCATTTTTGACATTACACTGGAAATTTAGCACTTTGTTGGCTTCCCAGAGTTACAGTAAACCCACACATGGGGTGGTGGTGGAGTGGCCACCTCTTCTTGAAAACTCTTCCAGGTTCTGTAATTCCTGTTTGAATCTGAAAAGAGAAAGAAGGCACATGTCTGTGTGGGAGAGTAGGAGCAGATGGGGAATTCTAAGGCTGTGTTGAAGGGCAGTACTAATACAGAAAATACCCTTCAAAGCCCAAGGGGCTGTGCTATAATATCAACAAGCATTTATTTTTCGGCTACCAGACAGCAAACAAAACAAAAACAAAGAACAAAAGCACCTCATATCTCCCCTTTTCCCTTCCCAAAACAGAAACACGTACATGCAGGATCTCTGCCTTCGGAATGTGAGGACAATGTTAACAACAACAAAACTGAAATAAATAAAAACAGAGCTGGAGAAAGTCTGCCTCTTCACTAAACCCAAACACCTCTAGATTCTTTTATCCATTCTCTGGTACATTTTGTGGAACTTTCTCACATCTTACAACTAGAAAAAACAGCTTCAAATAGCAGATGAGACTTCACTTTAGTAGTAGGATCCAACTCCATCTCCCAGTCCCATAATACCTGGATTGTTTCACCAAAACCTTCCTAATGGTCCCTCTAACATTGCAATGTAGCCTCAATAAATCCCCCCACAGGCAGAATTGAAAATATTCTGCTGTTTTCTAGTATCTCTTTTTCTCCCTATAAATAATTCACTATGCACTAATCCTCTGTAATGTCTCTCCATACCTTTTTTTTTTTTTCCTCCCCTCACCCTCAGTGTCCAAGACAAAGCCATTACTTCACCGATACCTCCTGCCCTTTCCTTCTACCTCTTGCATTTTAAATACTTTCAGGCCAAACTACTTCCACCTGCTCTGATGTAAAGCAAGACACATGCCAGTTTACCCTGGTGTAACTAATTGCCAAAGAAAGGAAAATGACTATGTAAATTATTCTAAGAAACTAGATCAAAAATTTATTTCTTTTCAGCTTCTACTGCCTACATAGATATCTCCCTCAGGAACAGCACAAAGATGTCAGCATGGCCAGTGACAATAAATATCAAGCTCTTAAAACAACAGTTGTTTTTCTCTATATTCTGCTCTAGAAGATTTGTACTGAACAGAAAAATCCTCCTCTCCTTCCAGTTCCTGTCTTCAGCTCACACAGGCAGACTCAGCCCTTGATCAAGTAAGAGCAATGGCATTCTGGCCCCTGATTAAAGAGCAGAGCAGGGCTGTGCTGGGTCAGATGAAAGGTCCAATTAGCCCAGGATCCTGCCCCAGACAGCAGCAGCCATAAGAAAAGCATATGCCTGCCCTTTTCATCCAGCAGTCCTTCCCCGACACACCTTCTTCCTCCTGCTATCTATAGTAGAGGCACTTCCTGAGCCAGACATTTTATCTTTAGGATTAGCAGACCTTGAAGACTTTTTCCCTCTCCAAATTTGTTTGTGCTCTTTCTGAGTCCAGGGAAACTTTTGTAACTGCAAACTACTGTGGTAATGGGTTATAAAGTTCCATGTAAACAATGCAAGAAAATGCCCTTTGGTTTGCTCTGAGCATGCCACCTGCTAGTTTTGTTTGATGTGTCTGAGTTCCTGAGCGAGAGGAGACATTAAGCAATTGCTCTGTATTTACCTTTTCCATGCAGTCACGATTCCATGGCATTGTGAATCATCCCCAGAGGGCTCACTGCAGCTCTCCACAGACCACGGGTGATGAGCTGAACTCGCAATCTCAATATGGTCAGATAAGTCAAAAAGCATTTTTCTGCTCTCTGCCTGTTCATGGATGTGGCAGTAACAAGTGCTATAACACAGTGCAGTAGTAAGTACTAATAAGCAGCCAGAAGTGATCCCAAACCACTCTGGAGTGGAGCTATAGCTCGAAAACAATGTGTTGGTGTCAACTGAGAGGTGCTGCTCTGGAGCATGGAGGTGGCTGTGGAAGGCCAGGGATTGCCAACTTCAGGCAGTTCCCAAAACACTGGCCTCAAAACAGAGGGATCCAGGATCTCCTCATAACTATATGCTTGGAGAAGGCTTAAGGCTCAGCCTGTCTTTCCTTGGAAGGAAGATCCAGGCCACCCTCTGGCTGCAGGAACAAGGCTCATGCCCAGCACACCCCGTGTCCTCCCCAGCCTGTAACTCTGCCACACAAAGGAAACACACTCGGCTCCCTCTGCTCCAGTGCTCCCCCAGCCCTGGGAACAGCAGGAAACAGCTGCAGAGAGGAGCTCTCAGGAAAAAGGAAGGCTGAGCAAAGGGCCACGGGAACACACAAAGCCAGAGGAGGAGACACTGGGGAAACCCAAGGGCTCCAATTCCCTCAGGAGCTCTCCCGGCCCTGCTGGGACTGGGCCATCACTCCAAAAGCAGGATCTGATCCTGCATCCAGTAGTGCCAAATTCCCAGCCACATTAGGAGCTCAGGATTAAACTCCTGATGCTCATGAACATCACAGGTGCTCTCACAGTTGGCAGCATTTTGAACCTTTGCCATAACCTATAACTTGTCAAGCAGAGGAAACGTTGATCAACTTATGCCAAGACACAATTCTCACACAGCAAGACCTACGGAATAAAGGGGGTATGTAGAGCACCCTTTCCTCTCCACATCCTGGAAAGGGCAATGGATACAATCCCCGCACACCAAGCTCTTCAGATCCATTCCCTGACATGACACTGCTCCCCCAAAGGCTGTGCTAATGATCTGGCAGCCAGACATGTCCCAAATGACACTCCAGGATGCCTGGAGCTCTGAAAGAAGACACTATCTTGTTTACATTGACCAAGGGGGAAAAAAAAAGCCATCTGATTATTACATAAATTCTGGCTGTAACAGCTTCATGACTAGTTGAAAGGAGGTAACAGCCTCCAAAATGACTGATGGATCCAAGTGTTTGGATCCACCAGCTTATTAACCTAATGCTGAGGAAGATCTTTCTTATCCCTGTGTCTCTGTCACTTTAACCTTCCCCACGATGGACAGAAAGAACAATTTCTGTTCTTTGCCTGTAAAATTGAGACAGATTCCTGTACTGTGGCCTTTGTGTTTTTTTCATTCTCTTTTATGCTATAACAGAAATAAACAAATAAAAAACTCCAAACAACGAACAAAACACGACAGAAAAAAAATAAGCATAAAATAAACACAGCTCTAGAACACTAATATTAATTTGCTAAGTATCTGTTTAAGTTATAAAATGTAACATGGGAGTAGATGAAATTCAAAAGGCACAATTACAGTTCATGTAACAGCTTTAAACTGCATTCCTGGAGCAAACCAGCCTCGGCACCAGGAGCTTCCATGCAGGATTACATGGAATTCTGGGCAAATACAGCCACTATGCTACTGTGGATACTGAATTAGCCAACTTAAGTTAATGCTGATATTCTAACTTTAATCCCATCTTTAGATTCCAGTGCTCCATCATGGTCGAATCTGGCACTAGCCCTGTGATTACGTACCAGCAGATCAGTATAAAAATAATTTGTTCTGAGTTCACAGTTTTATGAAATGACAAAACATCAAAATTAGCATTCTGGCTGAAATCCACTGCATTTCCCATCAAGGCTTACACTTTTAAGCAACATCTGAACCAACTGCCTATAATTACTCCTGGCAGATACTGGAGCACTTAGGCCAGCAGTAGATGCAACAGTGAAATAAATTTTTAAAGACATGCTGCAAACCACTTCTTTCAGGATGCTCACCCCAGAAGCAAACATGTGTCTATAAGCCAAATCCACAGTTTATTACACAGTATTTGTTCACTCTTGCATAGCAAAAGCCTGGGAAGAGTGAAAGCCCCAAGTAATTCATCAATTTAAAATTAAACATTTATTTGGGCTGCAGTTCCAAAAACACTAGCCCTCAAGTTCCTGTCACAACTACTTAAGAGGAATTGAGGTTGCATAGTAGCTTAGGTTAAAAGAAACACTAATTCTGCAGAAAAATCTGTTGTTTAAACAGCCCATACAAGTTAACTTGTCTACATTCCTTCTTTTTTACAGAGAAAGAAGAATCACACCCGTTCCTCTGAAGCAGTGAGTTCTCCTCCTTCTCCCCACATACACAGCTGGGGAGCCTGGTTTGGTTTTACCAATGCAAAATCTGTCTTCTTAATGATCCCACCGGTCTCTTAACTCCAAACTTCTACAAAGCCAAGCCTGAAAGGATATCAGGCCTACACCACTCTGTAAATTCCCTTCAACGGCTTTCCCGAAACAGCTCAGAAGTCCAGAGCTGGAAAGCTTCCTTGCCTCAAACAGCTGAAAGTCACAAATTCTCAGACTTTATGAACAGTCTGAGTACTTTCCCTTTCACACATGGAAATGCAGAGGGGAAGCTGAAGGCAGCTCAAAACACCTTTCAAATGAAGCCCATTTCCACCAAAGCTGTGCCACTTTTGTTGATTTTGCACATCAGGTTGTTCCAGTAGCAGGTACCAGGGAAAAATGTCAATGTTGAGTCACTAGAAAAGCCCAAGATGCAAAACAGGAACACACGGGAGAGCCATCCTGATCCTCTCTTGTAAATCTACAAGTTCTTAGGAAACAGATCAACCTCTAACAGAATCAAAGGAATGTTTGAAAGAAGGATGACTTACGGAAAGAGAGAAAACAGGCTTATTGAAGTAGTACAAGAAACAAAATGGATAGGAGTTCTTATTTGGGAAGAGGATTTTTTCAAAAGAATCAACATTTTTAAATGGTAATTTAGCTGAGAAACACAGAACGGAGTAACAGAAGTGGCTAAGAATAT